GGTCCCGAGAAATTTCGCGCCGCATCCTCGCATGTTGATAGAGGCTTGTATCGGCCTAGATTCGCTTGTCGGCAAACTTCCCGAGCTCTGAAGTGGAATTGGATTTCCTCTCTAAGGATGCTGGACTCGCTTGATCCTAGGTTGGAGTGTTGGTGGGTTAAGACGCCGGTGACGATGGTTATGACGATATAATACCCTGAGACGACAAATGTGAAACCTTCCCACGGTTAAATCCGGTCCTCCTCTAGTTCCCCGTGTAGTAATATGATGATATTGTTCTACTAATCTTATAAGAGAGAATCGACGAATTTAGAAATAGCATCATCACTCCCCATATTGCCCATACCTTTACGAATCAGAGCCTAAAGGGGAGCTCTGGACCAAATATTCACGATTCTGGGACATACGATCGGATCCGGGGAACGTTGGGAGTTTTAGGTCAAATGTTTTGCACATCAGCCACATCCCCTGCCATGTCCGAAGCTAAGACTCAGACCTAATTGTGATCTAACCGCCGAGTTTTAGTGGATAGTCACTGTAGCTCAGCCATGGCTCATGGGCTTCGCACTTCTACTCCAGGCCGAATTACGAACCCGCGACGTTCTCATCGGCGGGTTAAAATATCGGCAACTCCACCAGTGATCGTCTCAAGGTATGGATTTAAGCCACTAACATTGTCCGTTCTTCGGTCTTCACGGAAACCGCGGAGATTTTGTTTATAGTGCCGATGGGGTTTCGACTTTTACATTGTAGATATTTTACCAACATGCGATTTATGTAGATGATGGGACGACGCATCACCATACACGTATGCGTTCTAAGTTGGTGCGGACGGCGAGTGGGTACCTGCAGCAATGTGCAATATGTAGATAGGATTCATATCTGATCGGTTTCGAGAACCTTTTGAGAACAATCCTATTGCAACCAAACAGAGGATTTAATAACCGATACAGACTTGAATACCCTGAATACCTTGTCGTCCGAATCTTTTTGGGCAGCTGCTAAAGCTGAATCACATGAAGCCTCGTCGAATCAGCTGGGATCAACCTTGAGCAGCTCGCTGGTCTCAACACTAAACACTATCCAACGACCAGCTTAAATCCTTCATACCGTTGTCCACTCGGAGGACTGATAAATGTAAGGTTTAATAAGTGCAGTATGAGAATATGTGGATGATAACAAATACATAAAAGCTGTATAAGGTAAGTTAAGTATAATGTATAAAACATGTTGGAACAAAACGATCCCTACCTACCAGCCCATGTTCTATGTACGGTACCTATTTTTAGCTACTTTTAAAGTGGACAGCCCTGAATAATGTGTAACAAACTAATATTAAGCTTGAATTTTAACTTTCCTGTAACCCCGTTACCGTGTTATCACCCACATCTGCATAGCTTAGATGACCTGATAGCTGCAAGTTTCCGATTATGGATAAAGAGGAGTGAGCATATGAAGCAGAATGAAATAATGGTGCGCTGATCCGACAGTACAAATCATTAAATGGATGACACAGTAGATCTGATGTTACTCAACAGATTAGCTGTTTACCCAGTGCTGATGCGAATTATTAGGGGAAGATCGTCGGTTCAGGCCTATCGCAACACTGCAAACCCCATGTGTAAGTAAGATATTTTTAAACAAGATAAACCATTGGTGCTAGCTGTCCGTGCTAGGAGGAAGCTTTCTAAGCTTGAAATGTGCTGGGTGCCAGCTAAACGGATGGGCTGTGATGAACAGTAGCTGTACCTACGCTTGGCTGATTTCTAGGGCTCCAAGGGCTTCAAAGGCCACGAGGGCTTACTATTCTCGAAGGCTGATTTCGTTACATAAGTGTTAATACAAGTGAGGTATGGTAAACGCCGCCTATTGAACTTGCGGCATCTGATAATCCTTCAGAATTTATTTATGCCCGAGGTCTCAGCATTGACCAGATAACAGTGTGGAGGAGGCATTGATAAGCCTGCCGCAGCAGCAGTTTTTAGCAGTTTTAGCACTTTTTCTCCTGCCGCTCTCGAGTCTGCGCCAGTCTCAGGGTCTAATATGTTCAGGGTCCATGTCTTTACCCATGTCTGCGCCTGCTGACTGCAGGCCGGTGATACACGCGGCTCGATACCTAAACTGAACAAGCTGCAACAGGGGTGCTTGTAATTCCATATGTACTATGTAGCTGTGTGTATTTCACTGGGGACCGGGGTGGGTGACCCAAGCCATCCGTAAGATATCTTTATATATGGGATGCATCTCAATCTTCAGAGTTCACACCTACGAAGATCACAGCATGCAGAACCAATTCTCAAACCAATTCACAATGGGTATGACACCAGCTAGTCGGGCAACTGCCCAAAGTCCAGGTTAGTGCAACATCAACGAGAATCTCATCGTCAGGTATATGAGCAGAGCTAATGCATTAGTGAATAGTCTCAGGTCGTTCAACGCCAAGAAGAGAGCACAAAGCCAAACGCCGCGCGCCCAATACCTTGGTATGGACACAGCCGCGCACAATTCCTCCAGACATGCAAAGGAGTCAGATGGCAGCGAGATCTCAGAGTCCCGGCACAGCAGCACAAGAACCAATACACCACGACACTCAAAACAAACACCAACAGCAACAACCACAAATAACTCAACAACTAACACCACCAAGCATGTTATCGCGGGCTAGCATGTCACCGTGGGACAGCGATACCATGCATGTTGATCTGGGGGACACGACAGATTTGACGGATGACTTTTGCATACCAGATCTCATGCAATCCCCCGCATTATCCAAAGCATCAACATTTCCACAGAGGACGTTATTATCAAATACACCATTATCATTAACGATGGATGACTTAGGAGGAATAGAAGGTCTTGAAGCGAGTAAATGGACACCACCCGCCTCCGAGAGGGATTCTAGCTTAGAACCAGCGGATGTCAAAGGTTTTAACGCGGTGCACCTAGCCGCCTATTACGGACAACACTCGATCATGCGGCTTCTACTCTCAGCCTGCCCAGAAGACACAGACGCTGTCAACGACAAGGGCCAATCTGCATTACACATCGCGGCTGCTGAAGGCCACACGGAAGTAGTACGCGAACTTATCGACTTGGGCGCGAACGCCTTCTTACAAGACCACGACGGCCAGACCGTATTGCATGCGGCGGCTTCGTCTGGCTCCATACAAACAGTGCTGATGCTACTTGATCGGGATCCGGGGATGATAAGAGTACCGGATAGCACCGGGCATACGCCATTACACAGGGCAGTTATGCAAGGGAATGAAGAGGTTATACGCTCGCTATTAAAAAGAGGAGCCGACCCACGAACCACGATAGCATGAGATGAGATGATGTACAACATTTTTCTTACGATGCCGCCTAATCACTGTATATATACGGAGTCTTGTCATTTTATAGATTCGGTCGGGCGGCATTTAGGTCACGAGCTCATAGATGATATAGCAGGGCACAGGATTTCATAGACGGCATGGCCCGGTAAAAGGGCGCCTGAGAGATCCAACACGAACATGAAGAATCAATATACCCAGACATTCAAGAATTCAATGCAAATTTACTTCAAAGCTTCAGACGAAACCGTATTCCTGTGTGTACATACCTAGTATCTCAAACTTTCGATTTCGATACAAACTGTTCGTGATTTCACCATCTCCCCCTGGCTATAATACGTGGTATAATACTTAGGCTAGTCTCGATTCTGGATAATAAACATCGCATCTGATATCATATTCGTAGGAGGATTCTTTCTTACAACGGCATCTCAAAGCGGTACCGAGATGACGTGAGAAGCAATAATTCCATACAGCGGCATGAAATCTCGCTATCGTTGCCGGCTGCGAGAGCTCGCAGTAGCCTGTCTGAAGGAATATCGGTAAGTAGCTTGATTCGTCGCTGATGATGTGGGAGGCGCGGGCGGCGTTCTCGAATCTTGACGTATCGAGATACGAATACAGCTCTACGCATAATTAATTAAACACCTTCTTGGCTACTTGGGTAACATTCAACCTCATAACACCACATGAGTCTGCTCGGAATTTTTTCATTGAAGTTTCGAAAAGAAATTAAGTTATGACAGAATCGGCCATCGAACGCCACGTTATGTCGGTATCAGTAAGCTACATGATTCGCCAAGAGTACGTAACAATTCATGTTACGGGTTAGTCTGCTCTGGTAACCCTTGAGGGGTTTGTCGGCCAAGCCGAATGTGCCCCATGTATGTATCTCTCGTCTGTTCCCTGTAAGCTGGGGGCCGCAAAAGCCCCCAAACCCGAGCACCGTCTTTCTCGGCCAAGAGACATCTCAAACCAAAGGCGGTCAAGGACATGTCATCATCATCCAATCGCGTAATGACAAGAACCGAACGCCATTGGCAGAAGCTTAAATCTACCGTCAATCTACCGGCACTAGGTATCACCGGCATTACATTATCGCAAAGCAGGAGCATCACCACCTTGAGGGGCTGGGAGCAACTGGTCACATACTCTTAGCTTTTTGACTATTGCTCCTTGGCACAGAGACTTAGCTAGTTAAGCACTGCTAAGCATTGCTAAGCACTCGCCAATCGTTTATATCCAATCCATCCGTATTATCATCATAAATCCACACAGCTACGGATGGCGCAGAAATACGGCGCTGTATTCTCGAGTGAAGACCAATAACCCGCCCTTGAAGCGGATCTCTCTACGTAAGTCTATTCCTAATAACCCTAAAGGTAGTGGAGAACGTAGGGAATTATTTGGGGCGCGAAGAGGGGGAATTTCGAAGGATTTTTGCGGCGCTTTTATTACCAAGGTAACCGTCCACTCTTTGATGCACCACCTGCCTACTATGGCACGGTGCCCTTCAACGCATCTGCATGTCTCATTTCTCTAATACATACTCCTCTCTTTTGCGAAAACGACGAAGAGCCTCCAAACTGAATACAGGTGACAACCTTCTAAGTTAATTTCTTTTTGCTCTAAATGGTGACATTCAACACATAGTACTCCACAAAGTTGTCCCTGCCCCCCCCCCCCCCCCCCCCAAAACTGACCAAATAGGTAGTACCTTGTACATGTAAATCGAATCATGATGATGTGGAAAAAAAAATCTATGCTTCCCTCATTTCCGTTTCCGTAAAACGCCTGGAACCTAGGCATCCCATCCGCTGAGAACCTTCCACTTGACAAACATACCGTGCTTAGGACGGCCGGAGAAGCCTCCGTTGGAGGTCTTCATGTTGCTCTCGTCGCGCAGTTCCTCGTCGACCAAGTCGAACTCGAAGCGGCCGACCCAGGCGGCGAGAACGCAGGCCATCTCGGCCTTGGCGAAGCCCATGGCGACGCAGCTGCGAACACCTTGCATGAAGGAAAGGTTGGCGTACTTCGAGACGGCACCTCCGGTCGAGTTGAAGGAGCCGTCCGCGTTCAGCCATCTCCGTGGGTTGAAGACGTTGGCGTCGGGGCCCCAGGCGTCCTCGTGACGGTGGATACCCTTGATGGGAACGACGATCGAAATACCCTTGGGCAGGAGCTGGCCACAGACGACGGTGTCCTGGAGGGGCTCACGCAGCGTCTGTGGGATGGGCGGGTACCAGCGGAGGACTTCGTTGATGAAAGCCTGCATGAGGGGCATCTGCTCGACGTCGGCGCTCGTAACCTTCTTGTCACTTGCCGCATCAGTGCTGCCGGTGGGGTCGGGGAAATGAGCTCGGGCTTCGGCGCGTAACAGTTCTTGCCACTCCGGGTGCAAGCACATCATGTAGACAGCCCAGGTAATACCGACGGAGATAGTCTCGTGTCCGGCGGCCATAAACGTAGAGAGCTGATCGATAAGCTCCTCCTCGTCGGCGTCCGCGACTTCCTCGTAGTGGAAGCACAAACTGAGCAGATCCTTGCCCTTCTCACGCGTCTTGTCGGCGACTTCGAGACGCTTCTTGTTGAGCAGGTCGCGGCACACGCCACGGAAAACGGGCACGTACTCGCGCAGACTGCGGTTCCACTTGTTGGGGATGGCGTCAATCAGCCAGGGCGGGAACCACAGCTTGAGGAGAGCCTGGAAGAGGTAGCCGCGAGTGGGCTCGAGCGCGAGCCGGTAGGTCTTGGCGAGCTTGGAGTTCTCGTCCTGGATGGCGCCGAAGTCCGCGCCGAGGGTGGCCATGGTGACGATGTCGAGCGCGGCGCGCGACGACCAGTGGCCGACCTCGAAGACGGATTCGCCGGTGCGCGACTGCGAGGTCACGATGCCGGCCAGCTTCTGCGTGACCTCGCGCGTCTTGTCCCAGAAGATGGGGTACATCTCGCGGACGTGGCGCGGGGCGAAGATGGGCAGGAAGGCGCGTCGCTGCCGGCGGTGGTGCTGGCCCTCGGCCAGCACGAGGCCGATGCCCAGCAGCTTCTCGGCGAGCCAGAGGATGAACTTGGGCTTGACGAACTCGTCGGCCCGCGTGCAGAGCTCCTGGATCACCTTGGGGGACGTGGCGATGACGCGCGGCGTGTTGAAGATGTGCAGGTAGTAGATGAACCCATCGTTGGGAATCGAACGAATCCTGGGGAATTTCGATTAGTCAAAGGCCGCATTCGGATGAATGGGAAATAAAGAAAAAAAAAAAAAATTGGCCAGAACTTACCACCCCGCCTCAGTCTCACCCGTCCCAACCGAGAAACATTGCATGAAGTGACCGTTCCACCAAGTGCCACCCGGCGGCTTCGGTAGCTTATTTAGGGGACTCAGCCACTTGGGGTGGATGAACCGAGCGTATAGAACCCATCCAAACAGAATAATAGAGTAAATGACGAAGAAGGTTTTGACATGGCTGGCGGTTGAAAGAAAGACTCCCTCCGGTAGAGGTCTATATCGCACGAGAGCGTATGTAGCAGCTCCAGCTGTGGCCTGGGCCAATAGCCAGGAAGGTATCGCCATTGTGAACGCTTAGTCACTAATGCCGATCTATCTGAGTGGAAAGGTCTTATGACTGCACGGGTGAAGTGTGGGCTTGGTTACAAAAGTTCTGTGACATTATCGGTGGTAAACAGCGTTCATTTAGTCTATCACTCGCGCCTCACGATTTGTGGGGGCCGACGACGAGTCTACAGGAGAGGATAGATCTGGACTAAGAGAAAAATCCTGGGATTTCCTAATGAGGAAACAGTCTGCTATTACCCTATTCGGCAGGTTCCACTTTGGGCCATAGGGCTGATGGATCCTTTCACTTCAAAACACAAAACACGCCAGAGCTAACGTCCTATTCATCGTTCGACTGAAAACCGAAGTTGGAATGCCTTGGATTTTACCTTAGCATATTATAATCTTTCTTGTTGAGATAAACCATAGCCGCAGCTCCACGAACGTGCGATTGGGATTCGACTAAAGTGGTAATGTAGTAGTGGGTAACTAGGTTGTATAATCCCCGGCTTACACATGTCGCCGATGCCAAGGGTTTCCGTTTCCGTGTAATATCGGGGACCGAATAGGACATGCAGTATAACCGTAAGCTGAATTCCATTTGACTGCATTTGCTCCAGCTGCCGCAGCTCGCTCTTCGGGCCACTTTGATCGACAAACTCTTCTCTCTTTGGGGACTGATCGTCGTTGCGTAAAGTAACTGGGATGAACTGGATGAACGAAGCTCGAGCGAAGGTATATTTTTAGAAAGTCCACTACAATCCTTTTGCCCCTGAAGGCATCAGGCGAAACCCAAAATAGAAAATGGATATGGAATTTTGTCTAATCGGAGAGATCTGAGTGGTTCATGATATCACCACGACGTATGCATCAATTGAAAGCAAGATATTAGTAATTTCTACCTAGCTTGGACTTTGGACGGTTTCAAGTGTCCCAGATCGGCGGGATTAGCTGAGTCCAAACCGATCGCCTCAAGTGTAGTTCAGCTGACTTGATTGACATATGTAAACTTGGTCCCATTTGTCTTGGGGTGGCCATGGGTGGTATTGGTGATGAGGGCAAGGTTGCTGTCTCGGGGTTTTGCACGAAATCATAACACGGCAGGCGTAAGAATAGTATCACATAGTCAAAGTTGGAGCAACAAAAATTTGGCTTCTAATGTTTATATTTTTGTACAGTAAAAATAAGTACAGAAACCGTGAATGTGTGAAACCAATATCCTACGTGTAAAACACACGAACAGCCAAGAATCTATCGTATCTACCCAGAAACATCTCCAAACACCGTAAAAAGAGTAATTTTCATACATCAATCCAATCATGCTACAGAGTAAACCAACTTGGTTCCGCTGATCTCGCCTCTCCTGATCATGCCAACTCCGTTCAACAGGCCGGGTAGGCCACCCTCTTCAACGCGAACGGCATGGGGTCGGATCTTGCCACCATCCAAAAGACCTTGGATGCGGCCGAATAGAGGACCAGCAAGCTCCTTTAGTCTGGGCTCGGGCTCGCAGCCGTAAGGAGCAGGCCAGTGAGAGCCATCACCGGCGATACGGGTGGCCAGAATCCAGTCAGGGGTGATGACTTTGCGAGTAGCCAAGGTGTCATTGAAGGGGTTAAGAGCAGTGTAGTGGCCGCCAGCGCGGCCGAGGGCGGCATAGCAGAACTTCATGGAAGAGTCCTCGGCGAAGCAGTCGATGGCGTACTCAAGGCAGTTCTTGGTGTCAGCTCGGATCTGCTGCGCGCAGTTGGCGGACTTGTAGTCGTACACCTGGTCGGCACCGTACGACTTGACGAGCTTGAAGTTGTGAGGCGAGCAGGTGGTGATGGTGGGGAAACCGCAGACCTTCAGCAATTGCAGCATCATGGTTCCCGTGGATGTGCTACCACCGTAGACGAGAACGGTCGGGAGAGGCTCATCGGAGGTGCTGTCCAATATGCTTAGGGGCATGCCAAGAGACCAGAACAGCACCATGCTAGCTGATGCGATAGCAGTGCCCATAGAGGCGGCGTCCTCGAAGGACATGGTCTCAGGGACCTTGAGAGTCAGGTCACCAGGTAGTGCCACGTACTCGGCGAAAGCTCCAGCCAAGGGCTTTTCCTTGTTCACTGCATTTCGGATTAGCTATTAATATCTCGAAATTTCTGTCGCGAAGAATTCACATACTGCCGCTGGCACAACCGCATACTCGGTCGCCCACTTTGAGGTCCTTCTTCACTTCAGAGCCAATGGCTATGACGGTGCCTGCCAAGTCGAAGCCGAAGATGCAGCCGGGCGTGATGAAGTCACCGACGAGCTTAGTGTCGACGGGATTCAAAGCTACGGCCTTGACCTTGACGAGAATGGAGTCCGGCTTGAGCTCTGGGACGGGAGTCTCGCTGGAGACGAGGAACTCGCCTGAGGGGCCGGCGATGACAGCCGTTTGTGTGGTGGGGATAGAGGCAGACATTGTGATAGTAGGAGATAGTAGAGTATGAGTATGGCACTGAGATTTGGTGTTGGAAGATTGAGACTGTTTTTTTCGTGCTGGCTGTACTCTAAATGATCATTCGACCTTTCACATCATTCGATATCTTACGACGAAGATAGATATGTTCGAAGTTTTGATATATTGATTTCTAGATAAATCGTCCAGTACAAATCCCCTGATGCTCCTCAGCCCTACCAACTACGGTTAGCTAAGGAGCTTCCGAATCGGGTAGCAGTTTTGGAACTAAGCCTTCCAGGTTTCCTGATTGGGACACTATCCCAGAACGGCAATGATTCACTGACACAGAACAGATTCCCAGGGCAAAATCTGGTAGCCCTAATTAGGGCTAAAAAAAGGTCACTGCAGCCCAAATGGGTTTCTATCTTTAACCTCTTCCTTCAACGGTGGCTCCAATGTCACCACCTCATTATGTATATACTCAAAGCTAGGTAATTTGATAGTTGATAGTTAGTCGTATGATTGAATGCGATCCCAATAAGCTCCTGAATTTTTGAAATTTTGTGGACATCATCTGAGTTCCCTCTAAGCAAGAACAATGGCGAAACGTACGACCGTCTTGTTCTTGACGAATGCGGAGTTCAGTCAAGCTTCCGTCAATTTGGCTGCGTCCGCCGCGCTCGCCACCGATGAGTCCATGGACGTCCATATCGGTTCATTCAAGGGCCTGGCACCAAACGTTGCCCCTGGTGTCACTTTCCACGCCTTAGAAGGAAAATGCTTCAAGGACGTTGTGATAGAGAAGGGCAAGGAGTTCCTACCGAGACATCCGCCAGGGGTTCAAGGAGCAATTCAGTCCTACAAAGAGACGATGCCAATGCTACTCGCTCCGTGGGATACAGATGACTATTTTGTCATCTACGACTCCTGCGTCAACCTGATCAAGGAACTAAAGCCTGCCGCAGTGGTACTGGACTTTTTGTTCGGTCCCGGAGCCGATGCGGTCAACACGCTCAAGCAACGGCACGTCTACATGAGCCCGGGAGTCTTCAAAGATCATGCCGTGCACATGCAACCTTATCTTGGGTTCGCGTGGAAATTCCCAGTGTATGTCTTGCTTAATCTTCTGTGTAAATCCACTTAACTGACAGAGAATGCAGAGTGTCATCGGGATTCCGCGTCCCATTGCCTTGGTCGAGCATTTTGCCGAACATTTATCTGATCTACAACTTGCTCAAGCTCAGCTACTTCATTCCGGAGGTAAAGGACTTCATCAAAGCCCGTAATGACCGCGGCATTCCGGGAAACCTGAGCACCAAGTACAACATGTTCGACTTCAACCTGACGTACCTCACACAAGCGCGACCTCAAACAGATTTCCCGTTAGATTACGTGCCTGACAACCTGATCGGTTGCGGGCCGATCCTACCCCCATTCGAACCGCTTGAAACAGCGGACCCGGAGCTCCATAAGTGGTTGATTGGCAGACCCACTGTTATCATTAACATGGGCTCCCACGTCACTTACAAGGGCAACCAGATCGGCGAGGTCTTATCAGCGATCCAGGAGATTGCCGACCGTCATTCGGAGATCCAGATCCTGTGGAAGTGTCCGAAGCCTTCGAAGGAGGAAAAGCCGCCCACCGTTGACACGGATCTCTTCGGCGACCGCATCAAGATTATCTCGTGGCTGCCCTCGACCCCTGTGGCCGCTTTGACGGCTAGCAAGTCGATCCTAGCTTACGTGCATCACGGAGGCTCTAACTCCTTCCACGAGGCCATTGGCGCTGGTGTGCCGCAGGTTGTCTGCCCTGTCTGGATCGACACCTACGACTTTGCGACGCGAACTGAGATGATTGGAGTCGGCGTCAGAGGCAATGAGAAGGCTGCTCCTTATGTGAAGGCAGACGAGTTCGCAGCCGCCTTAGAAAGAGTGGTTGGAGGCTCACCCGAAGCTGAGAAGTTCAGAGAGACGGCGAAGAGGATATCAGAACAAGTAGGCTATGTAGACAGCGGGAGGAAGATCGCGGCGAGGCATATTAAGGACGTTGCGTTACAAGCGTGATGGGTGTTAGGTAACGGTTAGTGTTGTATTATGGATGTAACGAGGTATTTTCTTTGTGGTAGACTAGCGTTTGAATTGAATCTCGGGTATATTGTATAATAAATTGAGATGGTCTAGTAGTGCGTTGCTGGCGTAGAATACGTAAGGAAATAGAATAGCAATACACGATTAACTTAGTTGATATTGAAAATGGGTATGACTGTCGCTAAACTTTCAAGAGCGTGATATTGATCGTGTATATGAAATTCACCTGGAGGTTTCATTGAGCAGTGGATACTTGGTTGAACTTTCATCTTAGGGCATTGGTATTGCTACCATTTATTCAAATTGAAAATATGATAAAATAAGTCGATTGCTCAATGTCAATCTTATTTCCAAAAGGGTTCCAGCGGTTTTGCAACGAAAAAAAAAATATCACGTCACTATGACCATGAACCGTATGCCTTGACTGTACTTTCTAGGTATGAATGACTGTAAAGGTCTCGCTATCTCTATCAAGTTTATGCTAACATAGGTACTCTCTACCTAGGTGCCCTTTTATATGTTAGGAAATGGTTTTCTGTCCGTTTGACTGAGTTTTTCTGCAAACGGAGATTAGGAGGTAAAGTATAATCTCATATGACCTGGTGGACTAGACTTAAAATAAAAAAGCTAAAACAATGAACTGTACATGATTTTACACTTCAAGTGCTTTGTATCGGGTGTATTAACAGTATTCTGGCCTACAATCAGTTGACCAAACTCGAGGTTTCCCACGTGTTTAAGTGTATTTTGCCTCATAATATCTAAGTACGTACATAACTATAAGCAACCACTAGTTGAAAAAATAAGTATCTACCAATATATCAAACTAGCCCTGGACTATAAAACTCAACATTGAAAAATAAAGGATCTATTATATTCCGGGGAGGTTTATCAATCCAGAAGAAAATTGTGCATGGGTCGACTAACTTTTTTAGTATTTAAGTACCTACATGAAAGGAGTGAAACCGATTCGTCATGACGAATCTATGGGCTATAGCTTGGATAAATTGTTTTGCTGCTTTTATTTATAATGTTATCTATGCCCAGGAAAGTAGTTTAATCAAAAAGATCCATTTAAGGTACTACCCGTATGTGTGGCATATTGAAAGAATTTCACGTTGTTCTTTACATAACAGGTACCTATGGGCTCGCGTGTATATGCATTTTAAAGTATTTTGCTAAACACGCCGCTCGATTGGAAAACATGAGTTATCCAGCAACAAACACCATTGCTAATTCAGTACACCGCTAAGAAACCATTTCTTCTCATAATAAGAGACGTCAGTTTTTCTTCACTGCTTTCAGTAACCACATAGATATTTCTTTCGCCCATTAAATTAGAGATTGCTATATTGAGTGCCAAGCTTACATATTGCCATATTAGGAAGTCGGTGGCTATAAATAAAGGACCCGATTGGCTTTCGTATACAAGCAAGGTAAGACCTGAAGAACGCCACGCCTTGGGTATTCCAAAAACTTGTATCACCTGTTGTATTGATCATTTTCCCGCTGTTTGTATCTTGAATTTGGAGAGGCTGGTGTTGCGGCTATTTAATGAGAATACAAGAGCATGCGTTAACATGATTCTCCCAGAAAGAACAAGTCTCGCAAATGAAACTTTGACGACTAGCAAAACTAATCTCGAATATAAGACATGCGGTTACTTGGATAGGTAGTTTTAAGTGAAATGTGCAATTTTTATACTAAGATAGTTGTAATGATCGGCAAGGCAAGTAGTCGCTTCAATTATTTCATGTTTCAATGACGTCGTTTTTTCACCCCGCAGCAATGCTAAAATCACCACGATATCACACTAAGAAACACTTGGGCAAGGTCTGGTGTAGAAGTTTTATATAAAACAAAATTTAAAATGGCTGTATATACTCGCTTACTGGTACATTTCTTGCTTGGGAATGTTAGTATAAACTGAACAATTATCCTACTCCTCAGTTCTCAAAGGTATGAAGATCTGAGCCCAAACAACCTTCGAAAGTGACGTTTTAGGAAGCATTGACGGTCAACGAGAACCGGACCGATAGACACTACAGCCGCCTAGATGACACTAGAAGCAATTGTCTCTTATGATTGGTGCTTCGGTAGTTGGAACAAATCTTTCCATATACCGGCATGTCGATCTCGATGCGTTGGTCATCTACGGGTGGTGGACCGAGGTAGTTGTATACCTATTTATGGCAAACACATCGTTGATCCTAAAATCCCAACGAAAGAAATACATATTTTAATATGGTTTCGCAACTCCCGTCCACGCATTCGCTTTCGCTAATCTATAAATCCAAAAAGTGATTGGCTGGATCTAGAGGCTGTACAGTTAATCTACCTCGGCACGAATTCTCATCACTCCTTTTTGAGCATCATATAGTAAACGTGTCTCAGATATCATGATGTCTGGCTGCCCAAGTGTGATGTTTGTAGCATTTGCTTTTAAGTATATGTATGGTCGCTTCTCGGACATAGAAGTTTAGAAATTTTGTTCTTCATTCACACAATCCAAAGGCCTCGACGTTTGCAACCGCAATCTACCTATTTACGATGTCCACCCTATGTACCCATCTCGATCTGGGAGACGAACAATGTTGAACACAAAGAGACGCACATGATCGGAAAAATTACATGCTTGATAGCTTAGGGAGAAGAAGAAAAACCAAAGAAAAGCCAAGTTAAATTTATTGTGGATGGCAAAAAGGTGGACCTAAGGCCCGGTGTATTATTCCAAGGTCCACGACAACTCGAACCTCTCTTAGGACGCTATGCGATCGACGAATGACGAGTCTTATATACCTTGCTAAATTCGAGACTGTTTGGGTTGTGCTTGAGCGAAGCCGATGGGAGTCGAGCAACGGCGAGACTATCTTGGAGGACGGATTTCGGCGGGTAAATTCGGCCAAAGTCGGGGTTAGGGCGATGGAGTTTGTGTTGCGTATGCCTAGAAAGAGCCTAGAAAGAGCCTAAGAGCCAAAATGGAGGAAGGTTGAAAATCGCCCCATCGAACTATTACCACAACTCAACGACCGATTTCCGCAACCCTCGGACCCCTTTCGTGCTTCTCGTGGATAGGAGGTTGGTAAAAGTCACGTGTATCCCTAGGACTTTACGATGATGTTAGAAAAAGGTTTGTGTTCTTATTCGGGGTAGGAGCTGGTTCCCGAATTTGGCAATTGCTTGATTGCTTAATTACTACAGAATTGTACCCCACAAAACTCCACTAGGAAGTGGCTGTAACAAAGAAGCTTCAAACAAGCTTAAAATTGATAAATCTATTATTAGCGCTTATCTACCTGGTAGCTAGGTACATCGCTTATATGCAAGCCAATCCCACAATCACACTGTCCCCTTTCTGGAAACTTTCTCAAAATGGTAATCTATTTCTCAACATTAGTTACACTTCCTCTTTGGGTATCGACCAAAATCGACAAACCCACATCAGCCTTTACTATCAACGGGGTGGCAACGATGGCCGGGGTCTCAAACAGTCAGGCGAGGCTTGCTAGTCATGGAATCGTCAAGGAAACCAGGCTGACAACTACTGTTTCGAGAATGCCAGACGATCCAGAGGCACGGCTCATCCTACGTTATACCTTTACGGCTGTTACGGCTGAAAGGATAGCTGTAGATGATGACATGGCCTAGAACGAGATTAGGAAATACCAAATGGCTGTGTTCGAAATAGGTTGGACAGACCCGTCTCAAGCACATCTGATATCGAGTATATGACAGCATCGTATGTTCCGTCAAAATAATCATCTGGCTACAACTCATCGCAAACACAAGTTGATTTGACAGCGCAACAACAACTCCTCTAACTCGAGCCATTCATTCGATCACACCCATCCCATCAAATCATACCGGGTCCAACACTTCATCATCAAATGAACCACACTCGGACATAGCCGCTCGTCATTTCACTCAGAGAAGAACACTTGATTGGTGTCCTCTATCAGCCCACATCCCGCTGCCGTTAAACCATATCTTTTCCTTTTCTTTAGATACCCCTTTAGACAAACCACCCCAGTACAATATTCATTATGTCGGGCTACGCCGATTACGCCGAGGAACCCATTGCTGTCATCGGCTCCGGCTGCCGCTTCCCAGGAGGCTCATCCACGCCGTCCAAGCTTTGGGACCTCCTCAAGGCACCACGAGATGTTGGTAGCAAGATCGACCGTTTCTCGGCCGAGGCCTTCTACCACAAGGACGGTAGCCACCACGGCACCAGCAATGTGCTCAACTCTTACCTCATCGAAGAGGACACGCGCCACTTCGACGCGCAATTCTTCAGCATTCCCGGCTCTGAGGCTGAAGGCATAGATCCCCAGCAACGTCTTCTCATGGAAGTTGTCTATGAAGCCTTAGAGTCGTCGGGCCACCAGATTGAGGAGCTGTCTGGCTCATCCACCGCCGTATACGTGGGTGTCATGTGCAATGACTATGCCCACATCACCTACCACGATCTTGAATCTCTCCCCAAGTATGCGGCTACAGGCACGGCTTCGAGTATCCTGTCGAACCGTGTCTCGTACTTCTTCAACTGGACGGGTCCGTCGATGACCATCGACACGGCCTGCTCGTCCTCTCTCATCGCCACACACCAGGCTGTCCAATCTCTCCGAAAGGGCGAGTCCAACTTGGCCGTCGCGGCAGGGGCTAACCTCATCTTCGGCCCCACCAACTTCGTTGCTGAAAGCAACGTCCAGATGCTTTCGCCCACCGGCCGTAGCCGCATGTGGGATTCGGGTGCCGATGGCTACGCCCGAGGTGAGGGTGTAGCAGCTGTTATGCTCAAGCGTCTCAGTGACGCCATCCGTGATGGCGACACCATCGAGTGCATTGTCCGTGAGACCGGTACCAACCAGGACGGCCGAACGACTGGTATCACAATGCCTAGCAGCGTCTCGCAGGCCGAGCTTATTCGAAAGACATACGCCAATGCCGGTCTCTCCCCCTTGACCGACCGCTGCCAGTACTTCGAGGCCCACGGCACGGGCACCAAGGCTGGTGACCCGCAAGAGGCCGGTGCTATCTACAGAGCCTTCTTCGGCGAGAAGGAGCAATCTGATGACCCTAACGATGTGCTATACGTTGGTGTAAGTGAAGGAACATGATCATTGCAAAATTCCATAACAGCAGCTAATAAAATGAACAGAGCATTAAGACTATCATTGGTCACACAGAAGGAACGGCAGGTGTTGCTGGTCTGCTAAAGGCCTCCCTTGCCGTTCAGAACGGTGTCATCCCTCCTAACATGCTGTTCGAGAACCTCAACCCCGACATCAAGCCTTACTATGGCAAGCTTCAGATCTTGACGGACGCGAAGCCGTGGCCTCAAT